GAAGGAAGGTTGGGCAATCCTACTTCCGTAGTGATACTGCCTCGGAAACCCAAGGAGGGGTCGCTATGAGTCGGGTTTGACTCGATGGCACATAACAACAACAACAACATAGAGAAAGACTGTAGTGTCGCTATGAGTCAGGATCAACTCCCTGGCAATGGGTTTATAGACGAGAAAGGAACTGAACCCACGGATATGGACTTCTAATCTCCAGAACTATGAGAAAATAGATTTCTGTTCTTTAAAGCCACCCACCTGTATGGTACTTGTGTTCTAGCAGCACTAGGTACCTAAGGTGGCTGGAAAGTGCAATTAGTATTTCTTTGTCATCAAAGAGGAGGTGACAACTGAGTAGGGCCTTGAAGTGTGAGAAAACTTCAAAGAAAAAAGGAGGGCAGGGAAGTTCATCTCAGAGTAAGCATCAGCCCTCTAGCATTTCATGCAGGGGGCAATGATGCTATAAAGAAAAGTACTGGCTGTCCACCCCAGAGTCAGTGAGGGGAAGCTAAGGGAAAGAGGATTGCCTTCAAAGGGAGGAAATGCTCACAGTCAGAGCTGCCCCCACTCTGAAGGGACCAGGCAGACTAACGGGGGTGTGCTTCCTTTCAGAGAGGGCCAGCCTCGTGGCATGCATGCTGCTGGACTGTGACTCAGGCATGGATGGCTAGCTACTGCTCCACTCGGATGCCATTCAGCTCTGGATTCTATACATCTGCACAGCTCAGCCAAGCAGGTTTTGGCCAACATGGCTGTTATTCCTGTTACAGCATTTCTTATGTGCTGGTCCCTGCCAAAGAAGCGCTGGTGGCATAGTGGTTAAAGCATTCAGCTGCGAACCAATAGGTTGACAATTCGAATCCACCAGCTGCTCACTAGAGAAAGATGCGGTGGTCGGCTTCCATAAAGATTTACAGCGTTGGAAACCCTGTGGAGCAGGTCTACTCTGTTGTATAGGGTCACTATGAGTTGGAATTGTCTCAACTACAGGGGTTTTGGTTTTGGTTTGGCTCCTGCCCAACTGCCTTCCAACACTGCGTGGGCTGGTTTTGCTCAATCACAAAGGGAACAGCTCTTTACACTCTGGCCCTTGAATATCTTTTTATAATCAAACAAAGTTAATAGACTCACATTAGACAGGATTGCTGCTGGTGAGCAAGACAGACAAAACGACAGTAAACATTTCTTCTTAATGCTTGAGCCTGGGGGCATTCTGCATTAACTGCATGGTCTGGTTAACAGCAGGTTACTAGTTCACACCAAATATGGGCATACCATTTTCAAACGATTAGATTATAAAAGGATATATTATACTACAGCTGGGTTGAAAACAGGTTCACCTTCCTGGATGAATTACTATCTTCCTGCAAGATACCTTAAGGTTAAAATTATAAACATCAATTTTCACAATATCGTTTTATAAAGCAAACTAATTTTCTGCCATTTTCAGTTGCATGTCATTGTTGATTGTCATTGTATTGTCATCACTATAAGTCGATTCTGACTTACAGTGACCCTATAGGACAGAGTAGAACAGCTCCATAGAATTTCCAAGGCTGTAACCTTTACTGAAGCACTTTCTCCCACAGAGCCACTGGGTGATAGATTTGAACCACTGACCTCTTGGTTAACAACTGAGCACTTAACCATTGTGCTACTCAGGCTCCTGATGTATGTTACAGATTAAAGGAAATCTTCTAGATACAGTAAAGATGGAAATGTAAACCTAACAATATAGGCAAAATATTAATTGTCCCCTTTCCTCTTATAAAGTTATACTTTATTTTAATAAACATTCATTACGTCTCCATGTGCTAATCATTAGAGATATAAACTGAAAAAGTGAAAAGAAAATGAGGTACCTTAAACTTGAAAATTTCCTCAGATTCATAATATTACGTTTCTTAAAAGTGTTTTCCAATGATTATAAAAAATAATAAATTCAGCTACCTTCCTGCCCAACAAACAGGATTCTTTTGCTTATAATCTCTGGAGATTACAGATCTTTAAAGATTGACTTTAAAATGCCGGCCTAGATCATTGTCTCACATCCTGTAATAAAACCTCTGGTATTTAATTTACTGCTTTAACAAAAAAGGGAACACAATTTTCCTGAGCTCGGAAATGAATATGAAACAAAAAAGTAAACTCCTGACGTTACAGAATGGATCTTAATGATGCAACTTCCACCTCACAATGGGAAACAAAGGACATCCATAAAACCATACTCTGAGGCTACCAATCTATTTGATTGGATATGATGGTAACACAACTGCACAAAAGTTACATCTAAACACTGTTCAATCATAAATATGAACAATGCTTTCCCAGCCTCTCTCTTCAGAATACAGCAGACTTCAATCCTTTTGGAATTCCAGTCACATCCTTCTCATCACACACCATCCTGAGAAAATCACATCACAAGTGGTGCCAAGATCGGCCTTCTTCTGCTATTCTAGCTCAAAATACTTCCACTGCCTTTCTACTCACCTACCCTCTGATAGCCTGGGTTCTAAAACTCCCATTTTGTGCAGCATGGGAACTATATTCCCTTTTGATAAAATGAAGGTGCTCTGGTAGTGCAGTGGTTAAAGCATTTAGCTTCTAAGCAAAAGGTCAGCAGTTTGAACCTACCAGTTACTCCATGGGAGAAAGATGAGGCAGTCTATTGCTATAAGGATTTACAGCCTTGGAAACACATTGGGGGTTGCTATCAGTCAGAGTAGACGCGAAGGCAATACATTTGGTTTCTGGTTGGTTTGCACTCACTGGTTCTAGCATGGCTCTCTGGACTGTATCGGAATATGTGGTCCAGGCAGATCTGCCTATCTAGGTAGCCAGTCTGCTCCCAGTACTGGAAAGTAGAGTGAACCCTTCAAATGAAAACCCTGTGCTGGCCTCGACATCCACACCAGTGGCTCCTATGAACACCTGGACACTGCTGTGCTCCCCAGGGAGCATCCTGAGATTTCAGCCCCTCGTCAAAATCTGAAATCAACATTTTCCAAAGGGAAAACACCATAGGACCACCTTTCTGAGCATCAGTGACTCTAGTCCCAGGCTCCAGTCCACTTTCACAATGGACAGATCAGATCAAGCTGGAACGGGGCACACAAATACATGGCCACACATAGATTTTGTTATTTTCAGCAGCATAGTGAGTCCCATGGTGGTGCAAATGGTTGTACTCAACTACTAACCAAAAGACTATAGGTTTGAGCCCAGCCAGAGGCACCTTGGAAGAAAGGCCTGGTGATCTTCAGAAAGATCACAACCACTGAAAACCCTAAAGAGCACAGGCCTGCTCTGTACACATGGGGTCACCATGAGTCGGAGTCGACTCAACAGCAACTGGTTTGGTGTTTGTGTGTGTGTTACCTAGCATGGTTATGTAATCCTTCTGGGCCTCAATTTCTGTGTCAGTAAACCTAAGTGAGGACAAGGGTACCTTCCAGGTCTAATGTTATACAGTTCTACAGTATAATGTAGTAAGGATCTGCCACTGGCCTGGAACTATCTCCAGGCCTTGGCAAAGTAAAGACCCCAATTAAAGACCATGAAGAGGGGGAATAATTAAAAAAATCCCTAAGGTCCCCTTCCACATCTTCGTTCTAAGTTTGAGAGAGTGAGGCATGACCAAGCAACTGGTCATAAAACGTTAGTGGGTCTCACAGCTCTAATAAAGCTATGCGTCCAAAGACCAATTCTGCTCCAGCAAAATAAAAATAAAACGAAGTAATTCTCCATTTGATCTTTTCTAGCATTGCCCTGAAACACAGACTGACTCTACCACCACAGGAAAATGACTTTATTTTCAAAAACTCCCTTTTTATCAGCCACTTGTCCCCGTCGGAGGGGGCTGGCTCCATCTGTTCTCTCCGTGCCCACAAAACGTTTCTTTGAGAAAGAGTAGCTGGAAAGTTGCACTTACCCTTAGCCACTGCTTCTCCGTCAAGGCGTCGCTGTAGTCCACATCGCGGCGCTGCCGAGACCCCCTGCCAAATATCTTCTCTTCCTCTTCTTCACAAGTCAGCCTCTCCACTTCAGCGTCGTCTTTGATGATCCAAGAGGGCAGCTCATCTTCCTCTATTAAGCGAGGTTTGCGTTTTGGGTTCCGTGCATCCTCGCGGCGCCGGTCCATGTCCATACGCTGGGGGCAGTAACAAAGGTGTCACTGGAGGGAAAGGGTGGTTTTGTATAGTGTAGACCTATCAGCATATAGAACTCACGAGAGGCCCCAAGTGGTTGCAGGGTCCCTTTCATGTTGTCCATCAACCAACCAATCACAGCCATCCAGTCAATTCTGACTCATGGCCACCCCAAGTGTGCCACAGTGGAACTGTGCTTCCTAGGGTTTCCAATGGCTGATTTTTCAGAAGCAGATTTGCCAGGCCTTTCTTCTGAAGCACCTCTGGGTGGGTCTGAACTGCCAACTTCTCAGTAGTCAAGTCGCCACCCAGGGACAATACATTCTCCACGGAGCCCTACTTGACTTATTCTAACTCATCCCTGAAGCAGTGTCCGGGGGGAAGATTCTGTAAGGCAAAATCCCTTCCTTTGCCCGTCTTAAAATTTACTTATTCATTTTAAAATTCTCTTTTTAAGAATTATTTTTCTTCATGTTTGTGTGCACAAAGCTACTCCTTAAAAGAACTACCCATAGACCAGGTTTGCTGGTCTGATAGAGCCTGGTGGAACCACTGAGACAATGGCCCCTAGCTGCCCTTCAGGTCTGGAATTGAACCCACACCTGTGGCTTCCAGCCAAACAAAAGACAAGCAAATGAGCTGAACATTTATATTAGGTAGATGCACTCCTTGGAGAGAGCAATCATGGAAGAAAGAAGGGCTGCTAATGCACAGGGAGACAGCTCAGGGGGCGGGAGTGTATGGAGGGATGGACACAGGGAAGAGGTAACTATGGGGAGGAAGTGGGAGGGGAGCTGTTGCATTGTGGTAAATTGGAGTCAATGTCATGAGACAAAGTGTATATGAACTGCTGTATGGAAAGTGAATTTGCTCTGCAGATTTTCACCCAAATCACACACACACACACACACACACACACACACACACAAAAGAACTACTACCCATAACAATCCATTATTATCAAGTTGATTTTGAGTCATAGCAACCATAAAGGACAGAGTAGAACTGCCCCAAAGCCTTTCTAAGGCTGTAAATCTTTACAGGAGCAGACTGCCAGGTATTTTCTTCTACAGAGCAGCTGGTGGATTCTAACCTTTGACCTTTTAGTTAGCAGACTAGTGCTTAACCACTGTGCAACCAGGGTTCCTTCTTAAAAATTAAAACCAAACCAAATTTGCTGCCATGGAACTGATTCTCATAGCAACCTCCACTGGGTTTCCAAGGCTGTACATCTGCCAGGTATTTTCTCCTGAGGACTAGAGTGGCTGGAGGGTTTGAACCTCTGACCTTTCAGTCAGCAGAGGAGTGCTTAACCACTGTGCCACCAGGGGTCCTTAAAAATTAGCAAGAGAAAATTCAAACTGGGTATATATTGTAAAAATACAAGCACAGGTTTCACAATTCTTTGTTTCCCTGGAATAAACGTATTCTTTAAGCACATAAATGAGAGTGCTCATTTGAAAAATTTCTTTTTTAGTCAAAAGGCTCATACTTTTAATTAAACAATCTGTTGTTGTTGTTGTTCTTTGCCATCGAGTCGGCCCCGACTCATAGCGACCCCTCCTTGGGTTTCTGAGGCAGTATCACTACGGAAGTAGGACTGCGCAACCTTCCTTCCGAGGAGTGGCTGGTGGGTTTGAACTGCCAGCCTTCTGGTTAGCAGTCAACTGCCTTAGGCACTATGCTACCAGAGCTACTAGATTAAACCATCTAGACAACAAAAATCAGTGACCCACCTCTCTGTAGAGAGTAGCCATGCATAGGGGGTGTGGAGGTACATCAATAGCTTTGTCAATCGGTTGATCATGAAGGTCTTGGATTCTTTACCTTTTTTGAGTTTACCATTTAAGAAAACAGGGTACCACACAGAAAGATACCTCTCAGATGGTCCACTTCAACTGCCAAGGTCTAAGGGAGACAGCTTCCTTCTAGAGCCTTCATATCAGGTATATGCTGAAAGCTCCTAAGTGCCACACACCTGGCCTTAATCTCTAACTGAACAATCCAACAGCTGCCAAAGAGCAAGTAAAACCTCCACTGAGTTTCTACATGAATTAGACATCTCACCACCTAGCTCTCCCATCTCGGTAGTCCAGTAACATCCACAAGATCCGTGACATCATCTGCCTTTTCCCTCTTCCTCCAGTCTTACGTAACGAAGCAGGGAATCAATCTTCTATTTTCCTGAAGGCTTAAACTTATAACACAACAGAGATGAACTATCTACATGACCCCAAATTAGCGCTCTAAAACTCAGTAAAATAATTAAAGTCCTAAGTCCTTTAAACTATGCTTCAACATTTTTGGAATCATGTTATTCTCAGGATAGGGTAGGCTTGTTTGAGGTAGTGTCCTGCTCTGTTGTGGGCTATAGCTAGCTCCAGAAAAACCAAAACCAAACTCACTGCTGTCAAGTCGATTCTGACTCCCAGCGACCCCTCCTTGGGTTTCTGAGGTGTTATCTCTACAGAAGTAGATTACCCAGTCATCCATCCGAGGAGTTTGAACTGCCAGCCTTTCGGTTAGCAGTCAAATTCCTAAGGCACTATGCCACCAGAGCTCCTTCAAACTGCTAAAGGACTGTTAGCTCCAGAAGATGTGCTTAATCCTGCCTTTGGAAGCTCTGGTACCAAAAGCAGGAGCCACTCAGTCTTTGTTATTAACACTAAGGCAACCAACAACCAAACCTGTTGCCATGGCATCGATTCTGACTTGTAGTGACCCTATAGGACCGAGTAGAACTGTCCCACAAGGTTTCCAAGGCTGAAATATTTACAGAAGCTGACAGCCACATCTTTCTCCCATGAAGTGGCTGGTGGGTTCAAACTGTCAGCCTTTCAATTAGCAGCTGAGCCCTTAACCATTGTGCCACCAAGGCTCCTCAGCATCAATAGACCCTGCTTATAGCTGAGCGTAAAGAAGGGCTTCACAAGGCAACGTCCAATACTTATTAGATAGCTAATAAGAAAAAAGGAATGTTTTACTATATACTGCACTGAGAAGACATGATTCTGTCACTTCCATTTTTGGTTATACTGCAAGCATTGCCTATGCCCAGACCTGTAAAGTGACTTATGTCACATCTGCCTAGTTGAAAAAATAAATCTTTTCTGATGTCAAAGCAAATAATGAACTTGCTTTTCCCCCTTTTTCTCTTAGGAAGATGCAACTTAATACTGTTATAGATTGAATTGTGTCCCCCCCAATATATCCTAACCCTTATACCTGGGGTAAGGCACTCTGGTAGGGCAGTGCTTAAGGCATTTGACTGCTAACCAGAAAGCCAGTGGTTCAAACCCACCAGCCACTCTGTGGAAGGAAGACAGACAGGGCAAGCTACTTCCATAAAGATTTTCCACCTCAGAAACCCAATGGGGGTCTCTATGAGTCAAAATTGACTCGAAGGTAGTGGATTTGTTTTTTGTTCTCATTTTTTTGGTATACCTGTGGTGATAATCCCATCCTACTTGAAAATAGGTTTTCTTTGTTACATTGATGAAGCAGTATTGGTGTAGGGTAAGTCTTGAGTCATTCTCTTTTGAGAAATAAAAGGAGCAAACTGAGAAGCAAGAAGCCAGTTTGGTTTTGGTTTGGTTCATTAAAGCTACCCACTTGTGGAATTTCTGTTATAAGCACTAGAGAACTAAGACAAATACCAAACCAAGCCAGCTGTTGCCAAGTCGATTCTGACTCCTGGCAACCCCCATGTGTGTCAGAGTAGAACTGTGCCCCAGACGGTTTTCAACGGCTGATATTTCAGAAGCAGATCATCAGACCTTTCTTTCAAGGTGCCTTTGGGTAGACATGAACTTCCAAACTTTCAGTCAGCAGCTGAGTGTGTTAACCATTTTCACCACCCAACTCACTGCCGTCGAGTCGGATCTGACTCATAGTGAGTTGGGTTTCCAAGGCGGTATCACTACGGAAGTAGATTGCCCAACCTTCCTTCCGAGGAGTGGCTGGTGGGTATAAACTGCCAGCCTTCGGGTTAGCAGTCAAATGCCTTAGGCACTACGCCACCAGAGCTTGGGACTCTGTAATTTAATAAGATAAGTTTAAAATCCTAATGACTGGCCCTCTCTCCAAATTTGCAGACTACCAGTCAGAATCCCAAGTTGATGTTCAAGTTGAGAAAAAGATTTATTAGTTACTACACGACTATGTTTGCTTTGAGGCTGGTTATAAACTTCATACTAACAAGACAAATTATTTTTAAAAGTATCTCTTAACCTTGTAGAGAACACGGCATTTAAAAGCTTAATGTTTGTATGTTGGCAAAATGTTTCAGATATGCATCCCGAGCTGTCAAAGATATTTTTAGGTAAAGTCACAGGTAATCGTATGGAAGACAGCTTTTCCTAAAGTCACATTTTTAGAAGGAGAAAGCAAAAAAACAAAGTTTAAAAAAACAGGTCTATCTTAAAGATATCATTGAGCAATGTGTGTTGTTTAACTGCAATATCTATGATGATAAAGTCAAATATCAAGTTTGCATTAATTTTATAGAAGACCTATTTTTTCTAAATAAGCATGGATAAAGAGTTTCAATAATCGAAATTCAAAGGCTTAGTCTAGTCCACATCCCATTCTTGTCTCTCACTGAACTCTTTATCAGTGTAGCCACAGAGGACTCAAACTTCTCTTCCTGCCCTCTGGTGGAGGTGCTGATGAATAGTGAACTGGCTAAAGGCAGATGGCAGATTAGAGGAAGGTTTAAAAATACAAAAGCAAACCAAAGCAAAGCAAAATCTTTTTTAAAAAATGAAACAAAACAAAAAACTAGAAGTCAACCTTTAGTAAATAAGCAGAAAACTCAAAAAATCTAAACTTAAAATCAAACCTACTGCCATCGGGTCAATTCCGACTCTTAGCGACAGCATAGGACAGGATAGAACTGCCCCACAGAGTTTCCAAGGCGATAATCTTTATGGAAGCAGACTGCCTCATCTTTCTCCCACAGAGAAGCTAGTGGAGTCAAACCACTGACCTTACAGTTAACAGC